ACAAACATTTACAACAGCCATTCCTTGCATACCAGTACAACAACATGATCCAGCAACACAAACCATCCTACATACCTTCCTACTTATCTAGCGCATTTCCTTATCTAGTCCCTTCTGATGTTCGTTCGTATGAGACGGATAAATATAACAACGTATGCTTTTTATAAAAAGCTTTCTACACTAATTTAAATCACACGTGCGACGCATACACGCACGCACACAAACAACACGTACATAAGCATACAGGCGCCAACAACAACAACACGTAAGCAAAAACTCTGAACATTTAAAAAACATTAGAAAAGAAGAGAAAGAACACAAATTAAGATATAGAAAAGGAGTTGTACGTTGTAGATGATGATGTTCGTTTGGAGGGAAGCCAGGCATGAGCAACGCAACGCGAAATTTATTCTTTGGTGTTTACAAAAGTTCTTGGGATCGGGAGATAATTTATCAGGCGATGGTAAATTTGCAATTTATTAGTGATATTTTTTCAGGAAAAGTTCTCAAAAAACAAATATTGGAAGTTTAAAGAGTGTGTTTGTAAAAGTTTTTCTACATTGAAACAAATATAGAAAAAAATCCAAGCATAGAAAAAAAAATTTTGAAAAATCACACGGGAAGAAATTTTTATCTTGCTTCAGTAGACTTGCAGGTGTTCCAAAGACCTGGGCATCATTACGAACATTATTAACTTTTCATTAAAACCTGTCTTGACGTCTCAATTTTTTCTGGTTTGTTAGTTTTTTTTTCGTTCGATGGTTCATTCAAATTTGTCTGTTCATTCGTTTGTTCATTAGTGAATGTTTTTGATCAAGCCAATACCATAGAGACAAACGAAGTGAACTAATATATTATAAGTTTAACACGTTAGTTTGATTAAAAAAAGAATGAACCATGTAAATTAAAACATAATTGAACTATGAAAGGACAGCAACAATTTTCGGTTTAGCAACTTTAAGAAAATAGCAATGCCTATAAAAGACAAAAAACAACAACAACAACGGTTTTCAAATAACATGAAGTTGCTACAATAACACAAGTTTGCAATAATTCAACATTAAAATTGTTAAAAACAACAAAGAAACTAACAAACCAACAAGAACAACAGCCATAAAGGATACCAAAACAAATCTAACATAAGAATCATTACTGCGAAAGGGAAAAAAATTTTGCTTTTTGAAAGAAATTCACAGTCAAGAAACAAAAAATTATTAACCAGGACACGAAAGAACAAAACAAACAAAAATTGCAACAACAAAAACAACAAACACTAAGCTATATTGACAACAAATCAATGCAGTGAAAACAGAGAAGCGACCAAATTATTATTGAAAAAGTAGCAAACCAAACGAAAACAACATAACGTAACAATCGAAGACCATAAAAAACAACAAAGCAGACATATAACTACCAACAACAACAACAACTGCAACAACAACAACTGCAAAATCAGCCTAGCAATAATATCATCAACAACGAACCAACTTAACAACAATCACAGCAAACAAAACAACAAACAAACAAACATAACAACATAACAAACACAAAAATACAACAACAACGACAAACAAACCATAACCATAGAACAATGAACAACGGCACAGGGAGCTGGCTGGCCAACAATGACAAAACATCGATCACCGCATATTTACCACTCATTATGGAATGTCCACAAAACACGCGATGTGTCGAGTATTTTTTGTTTAATTTTTACACATTAAAAAAAAACTAGTTTCATAGTTTCAATCATTCACATTATGATCATTATTCTTAGTATTATTGCTTTTAATATTATACAACAACGTACAGGCTGGCGGTAGTAGTAGTAAAAGAAGCAACTGTCGCAGCGGCAAAAGTAGCAACAAAGTAAAAGTAGTAACTAAGACAATGCCACGGCTATATCAACTATTGACGTTTTAGAGGCAGTAGTAGTAATAGTAGTATTACTATATAAAGCAATATTCATGTTTTCATTAATAGAGGATTATTATTATTTTTGACAGAAAATAGTAAATTTCAACGTTAATATCTTTTTTTATTTTTTCTGTTTATTTTGTTTTTATTTTTTATTTTCGTGAGCATCGAACAGCCGTCAGTAAGCCCCAGCACGAAAAACAAAACGCAACTGATATGCTTGATGAGATTATCTTTTCAACAGCTTGCAGGATTTGTTTTATTTCTTCTTTCCTTAATGTTTTATTATTTTGTATAATATTTTATTACTTATCTTATAAATCCAGAAAACAATATAGGTATAATAATATATATTAATTAATTTTCTTAAAATCAAAGTTTTAAAAATGATAGACGGGTTTTTTGTTTCATCTGTTGAATATTTCATCTGATCGTTTCCATGCCTCGATATTTTGCTTTTTATTTAATTTTTTCATTTTTTTGTAATTGGTTTCTCAATGCGCTTGTAATTTTCGATTTTTAGTGGCACGTTTGCCCTACTTTTATGTTGTTAACATTTTGTAGGAACATTAAAAATAGCCTTTCATCGCTCTGTGAAATTTTTATTTAAAATAATTTTGTTTGAAATAAAAGTCTCAACCATTCAGTTCATGCGTGGAAAGCTTGAATGTGTCAGTTCAGTTAGCATCAGCTGCATTCACAGCGCACAATTTACGATCAGCTAAATTTTATAAGAACTATGTACGGTGTAGTATGTTGGTGCCACTGAGCGATATCCACTGACAAACATCAATTTTTTACAAACTTTTGTAATTTTCAGTTATTTTTAATCAAATTATTAACAATTTTCAGTTCAGAAAACACATAAACGTTAAGGGTAGAACTAAAAATGTTCTTATTTAAATTACAAAAAAGATTTTCTGATTAAGTAAGTGTTAACAAGATGTTCTTAAAACTCACATTTCTGTTGTTTAATGCATGTTAACGCAGTAAAAGTTGTTTAGGTACTTATAAGAGGATGTAATAGAAGTGTCCGTGCGTGTGAATGTTGCAAATTCATCTCGTTGATTTTGTTTTTAAATGTTGTTACCATTCGTTGCAGGAGCCCGAGAAAGAGCTTCTAAATATTAAACGACCGCAAGCAAAACACAAGCCTCGCCAATAAATTTCACATCCCGTTTCTAATTTCCCATGAAAGAGGGTCGACGTTGTAATTGTCAACGACATGCATGTTTGTATTCATGCATGCGTGCATGGTTGTATGTATGCATGAATGCATGTATGCATTCATGCATACATGTTTTCGAATGTACGCATGCATTTGTATAAACTGCGTGAAACATTGAAATGTATAAAGACGTCATAACAAAAGCACAACGTCGCTATCTTCAGTACCTGCGCGGAGACAAACAAACAGTCACATGCATCACACCACAGAAAATAAACTCACGCTCGAATTGGAATTGTAAAGCAGGCATGCGTGCATTAAACGCTCCACGCAAACATGAACAAAACATTCAGCGCACTACGCAACAATGTGTAGCATACATTTTGCGTTATATCAATAATTCAAGTAACACCTCGTAAACAAAAATATGTAATGATAAACATTCGAATTTTTTTATACATTCGTATAACAAGACACACCCTTAAAACGCTTTGGCGAACAAAAACACATATACAAACACACGCATACAAAAATACACACAAACACACACGCACACAAACACACACGCACACAAACATACAAACACACAGACCATCCACACGGCTTTCTAAGCGTTGAATGAAGACAAAAGTCTATAATTGCAAACACATGTGCCTAACTACTCGTTCACGGCAGGGATGGATGTATAAAAATTGCATACTGAGAATATACAAAACATTAGACATCAACTTAGACCAATTGCAACCAGGCAACCTTATATAAAAAGCCATACTGAGCGCATTATACACCAAATTGTTCCAAAATTATTGGTGTATGAAGTCGTATATCGCTTGCATGTTTTCGCTATTGCCAGTTAACTCTATTTTATTTCCGCAATTTTTGGCAAAAACTTTATAAAAAAATACATTTAACTGTTAGAGAAACTTACGTCCCAATCGCGTTTCTACCATGTTTTTAAAGTTCTCTGCAACATGCAACACGCAACAAGAAACATGCAGCATGCTTAGGTGGTGATGAAACAAAATATGAGAAAAACATCTGGCAAATAGCTAAAAAACATTTTATCCAAAAAATATTCACGTATTAATTAAATATAAATTTAATAAGCAGACAAATTGTAATAAATGTGGGTTTTCTCTACCAACTTCTTCAAAAATATAACCAATGACAATATTTTTTGCATTCTTTTTAACGGGAGATAATGTAAAAAAAACTAAAAAAGAAATGTGATGTCGATGTCTGTCAGAGAAACAAAACACAAACAAATGAAAAAGTTATTCGAAATTGTATTTGCACATGCCAATAAAAAACAAATTCATTTTTTCAATCTTACAACCACAAAGATGGCGGTACATAGAAGATTGAGTGAGTGAGGCTTCAGCGAGAAAAGGTGGTAATTGAAATCTTTCGCCAAATTCTACGTCTAAAAAAAAAATTCTCCCACAACAAAGTTGAAGTTGTTAAATTGAAAAAAATCATTTGGACGAAATAAGAATGAAACATTAACAAATGAACAGCTTAGAAAATTATTAAGAAACAAAAAAATGACATGCTTTTAATTCGGCACTGCGATTGCTATTAAAAGTGCGTTGATTGTGTTGAAAATATGCTGTTATAATAATAAATAATAAAACCCAATGAAAAAAAAAACTACTAAGATTACAAATCAAAGTGAACGAACAAGAAAATAAAAAACCACATGTGTATATGGACACACATGGTCTATAATAGAATAAGAAAATTTAGCTTGAATGTATTGAGATTGTGAGGAAAAAGAGAGGAAGAGAACAGGGGAGTAATGATCGGCCACGAAGCACCCATCTTTCGTGAAAGGACGCATGAAAATGAGATAACAACACATAAGTAAGTATACACCAGCGACTACAACACTTTTTTATTTTTTGCTGAGGTTTTTTTAAAGTTTTCTTTTCTCGATTTTTTCCACTATTTGCTCAGCTGCTTGCGTTAAGTCTTTCTTGATGTATTCGCTAGGAATTGTCACTCTCAAATACAAATACGAAGGTTTAGAATTTCTCAAATAAATATTTTCATTTAGATATAATCAGATGTTTAGACAATTTGAAAGAATTTTCAATTGCATCTTCACTGGCCACAAATAAACTTAAAATCTAATGCCCATACGTTTATATAAATAGATTTGCCATATAAAAACACTATAATAATTGTCACATTGTCATATAATAACGCCATAGCATTTTCAGTTCATTTTCATACACAAACACATTAGTAATAAAAAAAATAATAAACCGATCCAATTGTTAACACACGTACACACACGCACATACACACACGCACATACACACATGCAAACACGCAAATACACAGGCGCGCACACACACACACAAACATACACACGTACAGTCGCACAGAGCAAATAAATATTAACCTACGCGCGATGCAGTGTCCGTTTTTGTCCATGATTGACAGTTCAGGGTCGCAAACGCAGGTGCCGTAGTTGCAGCCCTCGTAGATGTACATGCACGAAAAGTTCTCACCAATGGGACAGTCGCTTGTGTTCCTACACGTGTTCTGATTGGTCAGGTAAGATGTGTCCAGAAGGTGGCCGCTCCACGATTGACTGCTCGCCCACGTCACCATCGCTGTTTGCAGTTTCAAAAAAACAGTTTTTTCATAATTTAATTTTATTCGATTTTTGTAACGCACGTTTTGCTTTGAAATTATTTCAATTTGACGATGACCATTGTCTTTGTTACACTTGCATGTACTTAACAAAAACTCGCAACACTTGTCGATGTTTGGCTCTAGCAGATGTTGATGCAAAACGACGTGCAATATGTAATTCAAACAAAAAACAACAAACAACAAAGAAACAAAAAACAAAAATCAAAATGTACGAAAACAAAATATTTACGCGGCGGCAAACAATCAGCCGCCACCACCAACGTTTAAAAAAATGATAAACATGACTGATCTGCGCACGTCAAAACATTTCTCGGCGCGCAAACAAGCTTTTACATTTCTCCCAGTTTTTTGATATTATTATTCTTGATATTACTCAAAAAATATTATTATTATTATTGTTGTTGTTGTTGTTGTTATTATTATTGCTATTATTATTATTACTACTACTGTTGTTTCACGGACTGATGAGCCGGTTTTACGGGCAGGATTGTTTTTAAAAGCATTAATGGCGCTGCCGAATATCCAAGCATTTGATTGATTAATCATTCGGCTTTTAACGGAAATGTTGTTTACGAATACGGTGTGGTGTCGTGTGGTATGAGTGATGTGTGGTTTGGCGTTGTGTGGTGTGGCGCTGTGTGGTGTGGCGTGGCGTTGTGTGGTGTTGTTTGGTGTGGATTAGCGTCTCATTCGATAATGTTTTGCTTCCGCCAGTAAATTATTCCTGCATTTATGCCTGTGATATATTATATCTAACTTTCTTCAGGGTATCACTTTTCATCATCGTTGTATCCTCATTGTATCTTTATTGTATCATTACTCTATCATCATTTTATCATCATTGTCATTATTTTATTTCAAACATCCGTAATTATCATCATTATAATTTTTCTAGATTTTCTTCTTCAAGGTCTTCAAAACAATTAATTTTTTCTTTTCTTTTTCTCTTATTCATATAATCATTAATATTTTCACCAACGATTCTTCCATCGCTTCAATCTTTCTTGAAACAATTTGCAATCGTAATCATTTCTTCTGGAGTGACTGACCTTGCAGTCGAGCCAGGTAACAGCTCATCCATCATACAAGAATTAATTCTACAGAATGTGAATGCCCTGCCTACATCTTATAAATGCGTCTTCACATAAAATGTTATATTGTAGGAAGGAGTCCACTGTGTCTTTATCTTATTATAAGACCTCGAACTTTTTTTCTCAAAATATGTAAAGAGAAGACCGTATATTAAGATGCGTGTATTAATGCTAAACGACATTTGTTGAATGAATGAATGAATGAATGAATAAATGAATGAATGAATGAATGAATGAATGAATGAATGAATGAATGAATGAATGAATGAATGAATGAATGAATGAATGAATGAATGAATGAATGAATGAATGAATGAATGAATGAATGAATGAATGAATGAATGAATGAATGAATGAATGAATGAATGAATGAATGAATGAATGAATGAATGAATGAATGAATGAATGAATGAATGAATGAATGAATGAATGAATGAATGAATGAATGAATGAATGAATGAATGAATGAATGAATGAATGAATGAATGAATGAATGAATGAATGAATGAATGAATGAATGAATGAATGAATGAATGAATGAATGAATGAATGAATGAATGAATGAATGAATGAATGAATGAATGAATGAATGAATGAATGAATGAATGAATGAATGAATGAATGAATGAATGAATGAATGAATGAATGAATGAATGAATGAATGAATGAATGATGAATGAATGAATGAATGAATGAATGA